TGCAGTGGTGTGACCATAACTCACTGCAGCCTCAAATTCCTGGGCTCAAGGGATCCTCCTACCTCAGCCTACTATGGAGTAGCTGAGACTACAGGCATGTGCCACCATGCTCGGCTAATTTTTTTTTTTAAATACTGGTAGAGATGGGTGCCTTGCTTTGTTGCCCAGGCTAGTCTTAAACTCCAGGCCTCAAACCATGCTCCTGCCCCAGCCTCCTGAAGCGCTAGGATTACAGGCATGAGCCACTGCATCCAGCCCCAAAGAGGCTTCTTATAAAAAGGGAACAACCAGAAAACAAGGAAGGGTTACCAGAAATTTAAACTATGGCTAAGGTGCCTCATTAGCTCAGTCAGTTGTGCTTCAGTCTCATAAAAATATGGCTGCTAAAAAGTTTTACCTGTAACACAAACTGAAAAATGAAATCAAGGAAATCTATCAGAATGGTGAGCAAAAAGAAAGAAATCAAAAATATGAAAGAAAAGTTAAAATCAGGGAATCAACAGAAGTCCTACACCCACCTAACAGAACTGTCAGAAGGAAACTGAAAAAAATGTGCAGGAGAAAATCGTTGAATGAATCATAGGTGAAGAATGGATAAACAAAATGTGGTACATACATACAAGGAAATACTATCCAGTCACAAAAAGGAAAGGAGCTACATGCTACAACATGGAGGAACCTTGACAACACTATGCTGAGTGAAAGAAACCAGACACAAAGACACAAAGACCACATATTGTATGATTCCATTTATACGAAACATCCAGAATAGGCAAAGCCACAGAGACAGAAAGTAAATTAGTGGTTGCCTGGGGCTGGGGGAGAGGGGGAATGAGTGAGTGATTGCTAATGGGCTGGGATTTCTTTTGGAGGTGATGAAAATATTCTGAAGCTAGATTGTGGTGATGGTTGCACAGCTTTGTAAATATACAAAAACCATTTCCTTGTATGCTTTAAAAGGGTGAATTTTATGGTGTGTGAATTATTTATTTTTAACTAAAAAAAAATAGTAGAAGAAAATCTCCAGGAACTCAAAATAAAAAGACTGAAGGTTGAATATGAAGCAGAGTAAATATACAGATACTCACTCTCAAATGCATTCTTACGGAATTAAACACTAAAGGACGGGGAAAAATGCTAGTGTCAAGAAAAAAGTTACAGAAACATTAGAATAAAATTGGCATCAAACTTCTCATTTGAAATACCACCAGAAGAAAATGGAGCAATGCCTTTTCCACAGTTCTGTAGGAATATGTTATTGACCAAATTAGGATAGGAAATCAGACACCTAGGAAAATAATATCTTCTAAGAAAGTGTTTTACATTCAACAATAGTATAACTAAGAAGCTGATGTCTTCGTGATATAATGAAGAACACGTGTGTTTCTGTTCTCAACAAGAAAAATGTAAGACAATTAGCAATTCTGGATTAAAAAACAGTTTCAAGAACCAGTGTGTAAATATGAACAACTAAAGTGTGGCATGATTTTTAAGAAATTGAGTGTGAAAAAAGAGAACCCATTTGATCTCAATGCCTAGAACATGCTTCTATGACTAGTTTAGTGACATAGGATTACATTCCGTTTTCTGGGGATTAAACCACTGAATTCTGCATTTAATTGTATATAATGTAGTAAAAAAGTGAAAATTGGCACTTACTGATTTAAAGCTATAAATGTAGCTGTAGAGGAAATGTAATACATGTGGAGAATGGTAGAAGATAAATTCTTTCAGAGTAGGGACGGAATAGATACTGTCTAAATAATGTGTTCAGAATAGAAGAATAGGCAAATTACCCTAAATTACAGTCTAACCACCAGAGGACCGAAACAGAAGCAATGAAAGGGAGTTGCCTCTGAGGAGGGTACGGGGAGCCGGGAATAATACTCGCACTTGCTGTTTGACACCATGATATATTTTTCAATACTTTGCTTTACCACATGCCTGTATGACATGAATTTCTTTAAGAGAGAAAGAACAATTTCCAGGCTTGTAAAAATTGGCTGTATCATTAGCAATACTTCCAGCAGCAACACACAGAAACATTTACTAATAGTGGCTTGCATCGTGACATTTATGATTTGTTTAAAAAGCGATCTAGAGTAAGCGGAAGGAACTGATCGCAGTTGGTTTGGTGGCTTGAGGACATCAGCACGGGCTCCGTTTCTTCCTGTCCGTCTGCTCTGCCACCCAAAGTTCTAGCTATGGTCTCCACTCAAGAGCCCAACATAGCTGCCAGCTCCAGGAACTGGGTTTCTCACAGCCACATCCAATATCAGGAAGGAAATTACAGAAACAAAAACGACTAACTTCCACATGATGATCACCTTTTATTTTCTTTTCCAGAAGCCACCATCCCTTCGTCCTCCAACCCATTCAGCTCCTTGCCATCCTTCTCTTGCATTTCATTGGCCGGAATTGGGTCACTTCCTCACCTCTGAAGCAATCACAGGGAATTTAGTTCACCTGAACTGAAGGAGATCCATCATATCTCACCATCTGGAGCTGAGCACGTTGCTCCCTAAACAAAACTGGTGATCTTGACAAAGAAGAAGCGGGCATTGACTGTCAGGTAGGCAGTAACAGGGTGTACCAGGTTGACTGACCGATTAACCAACCAGCTACCATCCCTTATGAGGTGACAACTGCCAGTCTGTCTGTCAGAATCACAAAGCCTGAAATCTCTCACGACGAAAGGCTATCCAGTCCTGAGGCCTTGGTCCTATGTTAATTTAATGTGATTAATCTTTTGAGATAAAACCATCAGTCATGTGGTGGCATCTGCAAATTAACATTAGCTTCTAGGGAGAAACTCCTGAGGAAGAAAAAAATCACATCACGCATTTTTCAAAGGTTCAACATCAAAAATTTATCAAGTGTAAAAACCCAGTCTGTTTGGTACTGTTAAAACGATTAATATTACAAATAGCTGCTAGAAACAAGGCACATCTGACAACCTGAAGGACTGGAAGGAGAGGCAAACATTTTCCTTTCTGAAGGAGGAAAAGTTAGTTTCATCATTTGCATTTTCCCTCCCTCATGTCATTTTATATCTCTGGTACATTTCCTAAATCAAAGACTTTCCTGGGGATTCTATTTATCAGACAGGTATTGGCTTGCTTTTCAGCAACCCTATCATAGTTGATTTACTAATATATCCTATAGACTTTGTGCACAATCTATACAGCGAAGGCCCATAGTGCCTCATAATTCCCACCTATTTTAAGTGAAAGACTTAATGCGTAGATGGGATCCGACATATGAGTGCTGCTCACTAGCTCACTGTCAGTGCAGGTCTGAATAATTAGCACCAGCAGCTCTTCTTTGCAGATATTAATACTTTATATCATAAATGTCAAGCATAGCACAAAGATGCAACCGGAAAACCTCCGAAGGGAAGGGAGCCCATAAGTCATGAAGGTTTCACTCTATTTTTCTTCCATTTTACTATCAGCAATATATACCCGGAGGATTTGCTGGGTCAAATGGTAGTTCCGCTTTTAGCTCTTTGAGGAATCACCATACTGCTTTCCACAATGGCTGAACTAATTTACACTCCCACTAACAGTGTGTAAGGGCTCCCCTTTCTCCACAACCTTGCCATTGCCAGCATCTGTTGTTTTTGTTTTGTTTTTTTACTTTTTATTAATAGCCATTCTGACTAGTGTGAGATGGTATCTCATTATGGTTTTGATTTGCATTTCTCTAATGATCAGTGATATTGAGGGTTTTTTTTAGATGCTTGTTGGCTACATGTATGTTGTCTTTTGAGAAGTGTCTCTTCATGTCCTTTGCCCAGTTTTTAATGAAGTTGTTTTTCTCTTGTACATTTAAGTTCCTTATATATGATATTAGACCTTTGTCAGATGCATAGTTTGCAAATATTTCCTCCCATTCTGTAGGTTGTCTATATACTCTAATAATAGTTTCTTTTGCTGTGCAGAAGCTATTTAGTAGGTCCCATTTGTCAATTTTTGCTTTTGTCATGATTGCTTTCAGTGTCTTTGTCATGAAATCTTTGCCTGTTTCTAGGTCCAGGATGGTATCGCCTAGGTTGTCTTCCGGGTTTTTATAGTTTTGGGTTCTACATTTAAGTCTTTAATCCTTCTTGAGTTGATTTTTGTATATGGTATAAGGAAGGGGTCCAGTTTCAATCTTTTGCATATGGAGAGACAGTTATCCCTGCACCATTTACAAAATAGGGAATCATTTCCCATTGTTTGTTTTTGTCAGCTTTGTCAGAGATCAGATGGTTGTAGATATGTGGCCTTATTTCTGGGCTCTCTATTCTGTTCCATTGGTCTATGTGCCTGTTTTTGTACCAGTACCATGCTGTTTTTGTTACTGTAGCCTTGTAGTATAGTTTGAAGTTGGGCAATGTGGTGCCTCTGCTTTGTTCTTTTTGCTTAGGATTGTTTTGGCTATTTGGGCTCTGTTTTGGTTCCATATAAATTTTAAAATATTTTTTTCTAGTTCTGTGATGAATATTTTGGTAGTTTGATAGGAATAGCATTTAATCTGTAAATTGCTTTGGGCAGTATGGCCATTTTAATGATATTGATTCTTCCTATCCATGAGCATGGGATGTTTTTTCCATTTGCTTGTGCCTTCTCTAATTTTTTTTTTTTTTTTTTTTGAGATGGAGTCTTGCTCTGTCGCCCAGACTGGAGTGCAGTGGCACGATCTTGGCTCACTGCAAGCTCCACCTCACGGGTGCATGCCATTCTCCTGCCCCAGCCTCTCAAGTAGCTGGGACTACAGGCGCCTGCCACCTCACCCAGCTAATTTTTTGTATTTTTAGTAGAGATGGGGTTTCACCGTGTTAGCCAAGATGGTCTCAATCTCCTGACCTCATGATCCGCCTGCCTCAGCCTCCCAAAGTGCTGGGATTACAGGTGTGAACCACTGCACCCAGTCCATGGACATCTATTTCTTTCTGACTATCCATCTATCCTTTCTTCTCAGGCTGTTGGCTTTTCTATGAACTTGAACAATCTTACCATTTTTCCAGGAGATATCCAAATCGGAGTAGGTACATTTCTGAATCCAAAAAAAGAGAGTAATATTAGATCAAAAGGAAGTATTTTAAAGGGGTTTCTAGATTCTAAGGGTATCTCAGCTCTCCATCTTTGAGCTTCATCCCTTTCTTTGATATATTTCAATTGATAAGTTATGAGGTAATTACAATATTTATCCCAGGCTCCCTAGTTCTTACCTAACTGCAAATTGGTTTTTCTTCAGCTCTTAGCAATTCTCATCTGATGTACATTATGATCAGAAACAGGCTACCATGGGGCTATTTTGACCATTTTGGAAGGAGTCAATATTGTTCTGCTGGAAAAATCTGATTCTAAAGTATCAAGTGGGCATTCAATGGCCACACATTCAATTTATTCAGTCTGACGGTGATGATAATATTCCAAGTCACTGAGTGTTGTCCTTTACTTTCAAGTCACTGGGTCCTTACTATATGCTGAATGCCTCATTCTGTGATCTATGGAGGCTTTTGATGGAGTAAGTTCTCGTAGTGAGTTTTCTCTTACAATTTTTCACACATAAACTGTCCATATCATTTACCAATTCCATTTGACATTTGCTAAAATACAACCCCAACGTGAGTTCATGGGTTTGGAAATGGCATATAATGCACGTCTCAAAGACATCTGAAACACAGGTGATCATTACAACTGATTGTCTTTTGGAATTGCTGGACAAAGCTTGGTGCAAAACGCTGTCCTCAATGCTAAGGAGAATGGTACTTGTAAAGTTCCCACCTTCTAGTTTGGACGTTGAAACCTAAACAGGGGAGAGTCTCAAGGCCCACTGTTAACACCATTGTTTGAACACGCTTCCCTCGTTAGGGAAGAATGTTCCCTATCTTTATCAGCAGGGTATTTTTATTCAGTACAAACGAAGGTTTTCTCCAATATGTTTCCAATTTGTGGCTAAGTCACCCTCATAAGGGACATTTCAGAAGCAGATATCTCTGGAAAATATTGCATATCGCACATATTGCCATTTCTAACGAAGTCTTTTAAAGTAAACTTGGAGTTGATTCACAGAAGTATTCATGTTGCATTTTCATTTTGAATGTTTAAAAACTCCTCTTACCTGGTTCTTTAACAAAGAAAAAAATCAAAGGAAGCCAGCCCAAGGATAGTCAGAATAGCTTGGTCTGAAAAAGCAAGAAAAAGGCACCTAAAGACTATCTGAAAGTTCTAGTCCCTCCAGTGTACGTCTCCAGCCACTGGGCAAGCATCCATTCAGTAAAATCCTGCTGGTTTTCAGTTTTCCCTTTGTCTTTTTACGAGCATAGCCTGCACGCTCTGGGCCCACAGGATGAGTGATTAGGGAGGTGTCAAGTGGAGAGACAGTGCCAAGTCTGGCAAATGAGTTTGTAGTTAATGTCAATGCCGGTTTTTCCAGAGGCTTTCAAATATATGAAGGACACTGCTTGAATGATGAGCTTTTAACCTTGCAGCTGGTCATTTGTTTTTCTGATTAGGACAAGCCACTGTCTCAACTTCCAGGTGGTTGTTCACCCTAGGCAATAACGGCCTCTTGTTTACTAATCTCCAAACTGCCACGTGTTCCTGGCTCGTCACTATGCGTCATCCTGCCTCTGAGTGCCAAACGATTGTGGAGAATCACTTTTGATCTTTTTCTCTTTGTTGTGTCAGAGAGAATCATAGAATATTTAAAAGTCTAGCATTTACAGAGGGAAACAAATACCGTGTGTGTGTGTGCGCGCCTGCGCGCGCGTGTTTTAAGAGAGCAAAATGTGGAATCAGGGAGTTCCAAAAAACAGAGCAAAACAATCCAACGATGTGCATTTTCCAAAGTAAAATAAGGCAAGATGAAACCCAGGTAAAAACACTGCTCCTCAGAAATGTTTTACATTATCTGATCGCTATGGTTTAAATGTCCCTCCAAAATTCATGTTGAAACTGAATCTCCAATGTGTCAAGTATTGAAAGGTGCGGTCTTTAAGAGGTGAATGGATTGTATCAATTCATTCATGGCTTGATGTATTAATAATGGGTTATAATGGGAGTGATACTGGTGGCTTTACAAGAAGAGGAAGAAAGACCTGAGCCAGCACGTTCAACCCTCTCACCACGTGATTCCCTGTGCCACCTTGAGACCATCCTGAGACTCTACCAGCAAGAAGGCCCTTATCAGATGCAGCCCTGGAGCTTGGATTAAATCTGTATAACTATCTTTAAAAATCACCCAATTTCAGGTATTCTGTTGGAAGCAACAAAAAACAGACTAAGACACCAATCAAGCCCTAAGGGCCACACACTCCTACTTTACAGTTTAGCATTTCATTTGTGGCATTTATAATTTACTTAATTTCTATCCATCCATACCCTCCCCTTGTGAACTTTAATAAAATCAGGGATTTTAGCAAAACCCCAGTGGTATGTACTTTCAGAAATGGGCAAAATCCCATTATTACAGTAGGCTCTGAATACTTGTTTCATTCTCTGGATGAGAGAAAGTCATGATTGCTAAGACTACAGTGGTCCATAATATAGTAAATCAGCTTAATGATGTGTGACTAAAACCATATTAAGAAAAAAAGGGTTGTTTCCCTGGATTCAGAAGGAGAAAGAAAAAAACAACTCTGGGTGCTTCAGGGAGACCAGAGTTCTAGGATTTTTTTTCAAAGCCTTAAAGCAACATGAGAAAACGGAAGTATCTTGGAGAAAAGCAGTCTCATGAACAACCCACTGAGAGGGAGATCTCAGCTTGGTTTTATATTTACACATTGTATCCAGAAGATAAACATTTGAAAAGCACTAAAGAACTAATCATGGCTTGAAGGGGTCTGCTGGGAGGTGGTGAGAGAACACTCTTTTTCCCATGTCAGCATGAGACCCTAATGTTCACTGCAGCTGTCATAGCAACTGTTTTTAAATAAAATGTGTATTATTCATCAGATATTGGCATCCAGAACACGGTGCCACGTAAAAATTATTACAATACTAGTCTTATCTCCATACAACTGGCTTGCGTGGCTAAGGGAGAGAAATGGTATAATTCTATGTCATGGGAGAGATTCTCAGCGAAGGAGGGAAGGCTTCCAAGAATGCTCCATTGCCCCAATTTGCTCCTCTAATTTCCTGTTTCAGAATCATCACCCACCTCTGCCAGAAAATATCTGGGGACACAGCACAGTGCTACAACCAACAAGACAATGGTTCAAGCTGCTGTACACTAAATGGGGAACGTTCGTAGCTGCAATTAAGAGATTCGACTTCAGAGAAACCATATCTTGAAATTACTGAGATCCAAAACTGCTCTCTCATAAGCTCTTTGTTAAGACTTTTAAGTATATTTTTTTAAAGTTGTAATTCTTGCACATGGAAAAAAAATTCAAATAATACAAAAGGCTACAGTATAAACCCCTTTCCTATTCCAGGTTCCTGCCCCCTGGCCGTAGCTAACCCTCATGCTAGTTTGTATGCATATGCAAACGTGTATTTTTATTTTTTCATTATTCCATTCAACATTTGAAATCGTATACACTCTGTTCTGCACCTGACTGTTTTCACTTAGCATATCCTGGAGAACACTTAATAACAGTAGTACATAGAGCTACTTGATTCTTTTTCATGACATCATGGCTTCATTTCTATTGGTTGCTATTTAGCTTGTTTCAGTGTTTTGGCCTGCAAGTAACACTGCACTGTGTATATTGTCCTTTTGTCTTTATTGCCATAGCCTTTTTTTTTTTTTGAGATGGAGTCTCCCTCTGGCCCAGGCTGGAGTGCAGTGGCGTGATCTCGGCTCACTGCAAGCTCCGCCTCCCAGGTTCATGCCATTCTCCTGCCTCAGGCTTCCAAGTAGCTGGGACTACAGGTGCCTGCCACCACGCCCAGCTAACTTTTTGTATTTTTAGTAGAGACGGGGTGAGTTTCACCGTGTGTTAGCCAGGATGGTCTCGATGTCCTGACCTCATGATCTGCCCACCTCCGCCTCCCAAAGTGCTGGGATTACAGGCATGAGCCACTGCACCTGGCCTACCATAGCCTTTCAATGGGCCTCCTTGTCTTCCAAATTAATCCTCTCCAGCTTTCTAATTTTCCACATTCCTGCCAGAGGGGTCTATTTACACAGAGAGACGGATCTTGTCACACTCCCACTTTAACCCAACAGTTCTCCCACCACCCACAGAACACCTCCAAATTCCTCAGTAGGTAAAAATCCTCCATTTGGTGCCTCCCATCTTTTAGTCTCACCTCCCACCACTTCCCACCAAGCACCCATCATGCTGCCCGCGCTGAACCAACAGCTAAAATGCTGCCGCCTTCCTCGTGCTGCCATACTCTTGGCGTCATTTATCTTGAATCCTTCTTGGAACTTGCTGGATGTGCTAGGAATGATAGTAAGCTTGACCTTGAGTTCTGTACCTGAACCCTCCAGGGAAGCCATATTTAACTGCTTGCTCCCCTTGCAGTTTCCACTTGCTGATCCCAGGAAGACTCAGACACCTACAATAAACATACCTATAGCTTTTTGTATGAGGTGGGAGCTGACCTGTTCCTGCCATCTACCTCCTGACACCTTGCCTGGACCTCTGACGCTGCTTTGCTGTGGCTGCTCTAACCCATGAGATGCCATAAGCAAATTGCCTGGCATTCAAAAAGAATACTTAAATAAAAATTGTTTCCTGAAGGCACTCTAGTTCCTACTTGTGTTAGGCCATTCTCCGCATTGATGTAAAGAAATACCTGAGCTGGGTAATTTATAAGAAAAGAAGTTTAATTGGGTCATGGTTCTACAGGCTCTACAAGCATGGTACTGGCATCTGTTCAGCTTCTTGAGAGCCTCAGTGAGCTTTTACTTATGGCAGAAGGTGAAGAGGGAACAGGCACGTTGCATGGCCAGAGCAGGGGCAAGAGAGAGGGTAGGAGGTGCCACACACTTTTAAACAACCAGATCTTGAGAGAACTCACTATCATGAGGACAGCACCAAGCCACAAGGGATCTGCCCCCATGACCCAGTCACCTCCCACCAGGCCCCACCTTCCACACTAGGGATTATGTTTCAACATGAGAGTTAGACTTATTTATTTAGATTTTCACTACACCACTTCCCTGTTCTGATCAGTGATCCAGGCACATTCCCTGGTTCTTCAGTCAGTCCTCTGGTTCCACTTTCAATCTGACAATACCAGGCATTGCCAGTTTCACCAGTCAGTAGATTTCCTTCCTCCAAACACCTTCCCTGGCATTACTTCACCCAAGTTAAACATTGTATTTCCTCAATTCTAAAGTAGGATGATACTGTCCAGCTGGTGAAATGCCATTTTCCACCCTGCAAAGATATTGGCACAGGACAAATACACGTTTGTTCATCAGGGCATATTCAAACAAACAGAAGTAACGAACGTATAATAGAGGCATGTCCCTTTGTCCCCTCTCCAAAACCTAACATTACTGCATGCCACAGACAGTTAAATAGAGAAGCCACACACTTTAAAATGTGACCGTGGCTAAATAGTGTACCAGTCATGCATTGTGTTCAACGGTGCAGTTGACATTGATGCGATATGCCAAGCATTTGCAGGAAGATCTTTAATCGATGCCTTTAAAATGAATATTGAGTCTGGTTCCCCCCCACCCCTTCCCTCTATCAACACTCATAGGAGAGCTAGAGGGAAGATTCTCTTTAGAATGGGGTCACTCTTATGGGCAAATGGATGAATGGTCTATGTGTCATAATGTAAACAATGAGGGAACTCTGTTTTAAAACGTCCCCCGTGGGACCCAGTGTTAGCTGTATTTCCTTGCACTAAGCCATTGTCTACAGAAGAGCAATACTAAAATACAAATATCTCTTTTGGCAGGGGCAGCAATACATTAATGCAAGAAGACAAATCTCTACACATTTGTATTCAGCAATTGCTACTCTGTTCAAAGATATTTTAAAGTAGATGTTTAAGAAGAAAGAAAAAAAGACATAAATCCTTTAAGAAATAGGTTGTTCTAGAAAACAGTATTAATCATATACTGTTATGTGAGAAAGGCAGATTATAAACAAATTTATAGCAATCCCATTTTTGTAAATGAAAAAAAAGCTCAAATACCACACTGCCCTCCTTCCTCTTAAAAACACTGGAAGAATAGCCAGGTGTGGTGGCTCACGCCTGTAATCCCAGCACTTTGGGAGGCTGAGGTGGGCGGATCAACTGAGGTCAAGAGATCGAGACCATCCTGGCTAACATGGTGAAACTCCGTCTCTACTAAAAATACAAAAATTAGCTGGGTGTGGTGGTGGGCACCTGTAGTCCCAGCTACTTGGGAAGCTGAGGCAGGAGAATGGCTTGAACCTGGGAGGTAGAGGTTGCAGTCAGCTGAGATCGCGCCACTGTACTCCAGCCTGGCGATAGAGCAAGACTCCGTCTCAAAAAAAAAAAAAAAAAGACTAGAAGAATAGGTTCCACAATGTTTACAGTGCTAATAGCTGAGGAATAGAATATGGGTGATTTTTTAATCTTCATTTTATGTACTACTTTTGCTTCAATTTTTAATGAACATACATTTCTATAAGAAAATATCCTTAAAATGTATAATTATATGTATATATTCATGTACTTTTCTGTATGTTTCTAGGTTTAATTAAAGCATATCCGCAATGGAGAAGAGCATTTCATGTGAAGTAGAATGAATAATTGGGATTTGAAAGGGAGAAGGATGAATGGCACAGATCCTTTCTTTCTTGAGAACTGAATCATGTGACCTAAGGAAAATTTCTTTCTTCTCTGGGACAAACGAGATTCAGAGCAGGTAGAATGAAAAGTAAAGGCCCTGGGAATGCTTAGGGTACATGGGCACACCTTGCCTTCTTCCTGAGGAGTTCCGTGAAGGTAACAAAATTTGAGACATTTCCTTCCTGGGCTTTGACATTTAAACAGAAGCTTCCTGAGTTACAGGAGTGGCTGTGTGGGTCCTTTTCTGTTTTTTTGTTTCTTTGTTTTGTTTTTACTTTATTGTAGTAAGAACACAACATGAGATCTAGTCTCAAGTTTTTAAGCGTACAATACACTGTTGTTGACTACAGGTACGGTGTTTTACAGCAGATCTCTAGAGCTTATTGATCTTGCTTAACTGAGACTTTATGTCTATCGATTATACATAATCAATAGGGGATCATTGAGGTAATCTCACCATTTCCCTCTCCCCACAGCAAATATCATTCCACTCTTCAATTCTATGAATTTTTTTATTTTTGATACCTCATATAAATGGAAGCATTTGTGTTGGGAATCCATGGTGGGATTATTTCATTTAGCATAATGAAATATGCTCAAAGTTCTTTCGTGTTGTTCACATATGGCAGGATTTCCTTTCTTTTTTAAGGCTGAATCATATTTCACTGTTTGTATATACCGCCTTTTCTTTATGCATACACGTTTAGGTTTACATTATCTTGGCTGTTGCAGCAATGAATATGAGAATGAAAATATCTTTTCAATATTTTTTAAGTAAATACCTAGAAGTGGGATTGCTGGATCAAAGGCAGTTCAATTTTTAATTTTTTAAAGAACTTCCATACTGTTTTCCATAGTGGCTGCATCATTTTGCATTCCCTTAAACAGTGTGCAAGAGTTCCAATCTCTCCATATCCATGAAAATACTTGTTGCCTTTTGGTTTTTTGATAATAGTTATCCTGACAGGTGTGAGGTAATAGCTCACTGTGGTTTTGATTTGCATTTCCCTGATGATTAGTGACACTGAGGATTTTTTCCTATACCTGTTGGCCATGTGTATATCTTCTTTGAAGAAACAGCTATTCATGGCCTTAGCCCATTTTTAAATTAGGTTCTACCACTATTGAGCTGTAGACATTCTTTATATATTTTACAGATTAACCCCTTATCAGATACACGGTTTGCAAATATTTTCTCCCATTCTATAGATCATTTCTTCGCTCTGTTGATTATTTCCTTTGCTGTGCAGAAGCTTTTAATTTGATATAGTGTCACTTGTTCATTTTTGGTTTTGTTGCCCGTACTTTTGGTGTTAAATATTCATGAAATCAATATCAAGACCAACGTCAGGAAGCTTTTCCTCTATGTTTTCCGCAATGGGTTCTTCAGTTTCAGGTCTTGTCTTTAAGTCTTTAAGCCATTTTGAGTTGATTTTTTGTCGGGTCTAATTCATTATTCTGCATGTGGACATCCAGTTTTCCCAACACCATTTATTGAAGAGACTATTCCTTCCCCATTGTGTATTTCTGGCATCCTTGTCAAAGATCAGTTGACTGTACATATGAATTTATTTCTGGCTATATGTATATGGTATACATATACCTGGTGATAGGTATATGCATTTATTTCTGGGCTCTTTATTTTCTTCCACTGATCTGTATGTCTGTCTGTATGTCAGTACCATACTGTTTTCATTACTGTGGTTTTCTAAAGTATTGTGAAATGAGGAATTATGATGCCTGCAGCTTTGTGCTTTCTCAGGATCAATTTGGCTATTCTTGGGCTTTTGTGGTTTCATATGAATTGCAGAATTTTTTTTCTATTTCTATACAAAATGCCACTGAGATTTTAATAAGGGTTGCATTGAACCTGTAAATCACTGAGTATGGATATTTTAACAACATTAAGTCTTCCATTCTACGAATGCAGGATGTCTTTCCATTTGTTTGCATCTTTTCAAATTTCTTTCATCAGTGTTTTGTGGTTTTCTGTATACAAGTCTTTCACCTCTTCAGTTTATTCCTAAGTATTTTATTCTTTTTGGTGCTATTATAGATGGAAATGCTTTCCTAATTTCCTTTTCAGAGAGTTTGTCGGTAGTATACAGAAACACAACTGATTTTTATATATTGACTTTGTATCCTGCAATTTTACTGAATTTGTTTAATAGTTCTGGAGGTTTTGTTCCTTGAATCTTTAAAATTTTGTAAGTATATAAGTTCATGTTGTCTATAAACAGAGCTGTTTGTTTTTTCCTTTCTGATTTGGATGCCTTGTCTCTTTTTCTTTCTTAATTGCTCTGACTAGGACTTCCAGTACCATATTGTATATATATGTTGCTGTGCTCTTGGTCTTCCAGGAAATGCTTTCAGGTTTTTGACCACTGAGTATCATGTTAGCTGTGGGCTTTTCATATACAGCCTTCATTATATTGAGGTGCTTTCTATTCCTAGTTTGTTGGAGGTTTTTTGTCATGAAAGGGTAGTAAATTTTGTCAAATGCTTTTTCTGTATCTATTGTAAGGATCATGTGATTTTTATCCTTTTTTCTGTTAATGTAGTGTATTGATTTTTGTATGTTGAACCATCCTTGCATACTAGGGATAAATTACACTTGGTCATTATGTATGATTTTTTTAATGTGCTGTTGGATTTGGTTTGCTGGTATTTTGTTGAGGGGTTTTCTTAATCTATATTCTTCAGGAATATTGGCCTGTA